TTGATCAGTTTGTCTCGGCTGGCTGGCCAGAGAGTTCCAGTACATTTGCCTTTCTCTGACTCCATAGTGCTGGTGTTAATGAAGCATGCTACCTTGCCTGAACTTAAAGGTCCTCAGCTGTGTGTGTGTGTGTGTGTGTGTGAGTGTGTGTGTGTGTGTTTGTACATACATATGTAAATCTGGGCCAGGCAGAGTTTAAATGAATGGGATTACCCCGTGAGTGCCTTGGAAGGAGTGCTTTGTTGTCAGGAAACTGAGTTGTTCATGGAAGAGGAGCAGGGGACAGGGTTGGATGTGCATCATTCTCTGATAGGAGCTGGATGGGGAAAAACTTTGGGGTGTCGGTATTTGGCTTTGTACACTGGGACAAACTCTAAGGTCAGATAATTCCTGAGAGTCTCTTTCAGATTAAAAAGTAAATGACTTAGTGTCCCAAGGTGTGTTTCTCTGTGGTGCCCGTGATTTTGAATGCTTGTAATGGCTTCTGCACAGACTGGTTAATTAATTAGGGCTGGCTGATGTGTTGTTTCATATTCACTGTAAACAGAATGTAAACAGAGAGACAACACTGTCCAAACATGACTTTGGACACTGTTGTATACCTACTAGATACCATTTTTGGTTTTCAAGAGAGAGAGAGAGAGAGAGAGAGAGAGAGAGAGAGAGAGAGAGAAAAGGAGGCAAACATTGAAGTATTACACTGGTGACTGGACATAGAGTTGATAGGATTGTGTGGTTTTGTTTGTTCTGAATTTTACTCACATAGTATTATTGCTGCTTATACCCCCCATAAAGTCGGATGAATGTTTTAGGTGACAGAGCAAAACGAATGTTGATGTGTAACGCAGGTTTGTAGTTGGGTTTGTAGAAGGGACACAGTGGTCTCTGCTGATCCTTAGGTGGAATTGCACCTTTGAGATGGCGCTGGTCAACCGTTGCACTATCACGGTACACGTTCACTATCTTTAGATGGCATCTGACCTTCATTCAGTCATTTGCTTTGCCACACTCTTTTGGTGTGCGACTACCTGTCTAAGCTTGTTCCTCCTCCTGCTTGCAAGCTAGCCAGTTATAAATGAAACAGGAAATAGATACAGCTGCATTTTTTTCTTATCTCAGTTGTTTAAGCAAGCATCTTACAGACAGGGATGATAACTTACTAGCAGATTTAAAAGAACACCATGCTCAACATCAGTTACACTCAGACAATTCTGAACCATTGCAAGCCATCATCTTCCTTAATGTATCTGTCACATCCTTAAAATGCCACCTTAGCACAACAATGACGGAATCGTAGCAGAAGTTATCTAAAGACACTGGCATATTCTTGTAAATCCTAAAGTGTGGCAATGTACCCAATGATGACATGTCTTCTTCTTCTATTTTTGACATGTCTTAATGTTCTGAGTTTTTCTAATATCTCAGTGAAATTACCATAAGCAGTTAATTTCTGTCTTATTTCCGGTCACCTAGTCTGGCAATTATGAGAAGGCTTGGAAGGGCAAGTCACCCACCCCAAAGAAAATGGCAACCCTTGGCTTGTCCCACCCAGAGGCAGCTAAAGTTCTCAGCCTGAGAGCCTCATGGCTCATACTGTAATCTGTCGGAACGCATCAGGTGTCCTATGAACACTTGTATTTCTTTGATGCTGTTCGAAGTTCCTTTGGCCCGGGGGTCTTGGGTTATTTAGTTTCTGTTGTTCTCTAACCTTACTGCGGGAACCAACAGAATCATTTTAAATAAAGGATATTCAATAAAGGATGCTACTTAACTTAGGGATTGGAAAAGTAGAGTTTCGCTCAGTTGCATGTCCTCCAGAGGGGTCCCTTCTTTGACCACAGAGTCTGTTCAGGCTTCAGACACACACCTCCTCTGGCAGCCTAGAAGCCTATGCTTCAGACCCAGGGGCAACAGTGGTGGCTGAACCACAGAGTCCCGCAAGTGGACTAGTGCTTTCGTATGCCTAAGACTCCTGGGCTACTTTACTTATATCTAACGTATTCAGAGGGACACTAGGTTCTTTATTAAAGAGGTATTTGGTAGGTAGGTTACCTAGACATCAGAGCCATGCGGCAGGGCTCACAGGGTTATACGTGGCATTTGGTGTGGGGTAGGTTAGCTAACGATTTCGTCAGAGCTGTACAACAGTGCCCACAGGGTTGCATGAGGTATCGCCATGGCGCGGACCCCTCATAAGAACACTAAGAGATGCTGCCGGGTGCCGTAAAAACTTCTTCCCACTCTTGCCCTCGTAGAAGCAGAGGCTTAGGATTTCTGTCAACAAATGGGTGTATGTGGACCACCTGCTCCTTTTAATCCTTCCTGCTCCTGAGGGGCACAGCTTGGATCTGTGTGTAAGTCATTCTGAAGCTGGTGCGCTCCAGGCCCCATCTGCAATTGCTTCCAGGTGAACTGCCTGCCGCCCAGGTCAGATTGTAGCCTGGTACCTCCTTTGAGACACCTGGGAGCATCCTCATCACGTAGCATAGGAAATGCTCAGCACGGCTAGACGGTCTCATCAGATACCCAGAGAAGAGTAGCGACAGGCAGTGGTGCCCCTGGACAGAACTGAAACCTCTGGGGACTGGAGCAGGCTGGCTGCAGCAGGAAAAGGTTCCCAGCATTGGCTCTGCCTTCAGCCCAGTGAGGGAACTGCTCCATATGAATCACTAACAAGTGGCTTCAGATGACGGCTTGTGCTAAGAACGGCTTTAACACAACACTTAATTTAAAGGCCATTTGTTAGAATCTGGCCGAGGAACCACAGGGCCGGCAGAAGGGGATAGAGGAGAGATGGGGAGAAGTCGGGAGTTTGGAGTTAGGTTCGAAGAAAGCTGCACACGTGTTGGGCAACTGAGGCCCGCATGTCTTCAGACAAGGAGTGAGAGCGTCTCATGTTGGGATAGCATTTTAGTCAGTTTCCAAAGAGGAGGAGAAAGGGCGAGGGAAATGCTGTGCTTTCAAGTTAGAAAAGAGGGCAGGCTTGGTGATGATTTGCAGATAGCTGCAGTGGTCTTACTTAAATAATTCTGGTAAAAATTTTTCGACTTTGGCCAGTAAAGTGCATTCATAAAACATAAAACATGCAAGTTTGCTGCTGGCTAAGAGAATAGATGTACTAATTCCACTTCTGCTTGCCAGAGAAAGAGGTAGCCCTTTTAGAAATCATGCCCAGGCGAGATGGGAGCCTGGCCTCAACTGCTGGCCTCACTCTGGAAGCTGGAGTCGCTTCCTGTGCACGCGCGCACTGATGTCAAGTTTCATTTGTATTTAACACCCGCCCCGGTCACCTTCCCCTCTTGTCTGTGCCTGGCATGTCTACAGCTCTAACAGCCACAGCAGGTCCCTGTGTTGGTATCGTGGAACTTCCTAACCACGGTCAGGGGAGTGAGCAGTGGCCGTGTCTGTCTGGATTGCACAAAATAAGAACTCAGTATTTAAAGAGGTCAAGGTTTGGTTGTCATCAAGGAGCTGGCTAGGGAAGGAGCTGGGAGGGCCATTTGTGCTTACACCCCGCCTCCTCTAGGAATGCAGGTGTGTTTGGCTGAGCCTAGTGTTCTTTGGTAACCCAGCCCCCATACCTGGTCGGTTCACTGGGTGTGTGGGAATCTAGAGGTCCCAGAGAATTTCAGTAACTCTCCGAACCCAGTGCCTTCATTTTACCCGAGAGGAGAGGAAGTGAGTTTGCAGGGAGCCTGCCGCCGCCTCTGGCACTGTCAGCATTGCGTCCCTGTGTTTTGCTGAGTCCCAAGTTTGCTAAACAAGCCAAAGCTACAATCTCTGCCTGTACTCCTCCGAAGACCCCAGGTGGTGACCACGAGGGTAGCACCTCCCTGTCCTTCCTACATCCTCTCCCCCTTTGGTCACTCTAGTGTCATTTTAGTGTCTTGTGTTAACTTTCTGTGACACTTCCCTAGAGATATCGTGAAATGCGTTTGTTTCCTAAAGAATGTGAACAAACCCCTAAGCTGCCTAGAAGAAAAGCAAAGCGGGCTGTCTATGGAACATAGCCTAAATCAGAACATTCGTTCTCACTTAGCTCCCCTCCCCCCCACAGTCACCCTTCTCAGTGGCAAACCAGGAGGACACAGCAATAACCAGAGGACGAGATCCCACAGAGGGATCCAAGGCAGAGCCTTGATACCCAGTTTCACAGGGGCAAAGCCAAGGAATGAGGCAGAAACTCAGCCTCTGCCAAGTTTGCTGGCATTCCCAATGCCGTAAGAAATGGTTAATATGCCTGCCGTGAGAGGGGACTGGAAGTTCTCTCATGGGCAAAGTCGTAAAATATGAAATCAGAAAGTTACTGTGCCCTGGGCTCATGGGTCACTTAGAGTCATTTAGAAAGGCAACCCCGCCTGCTGACTGTGCGCTTTCCTCCTCCCTGTGGTAAGCACTTCTCCAGGAGTTTGCTTGGGAGCAGATCCCGGCTGCCGCTAGCGTGTTTGTGAGTTGCCTGGCAGTTTTCTCTGGGCTTCTGCTGACATGTTTTAACATGATTTCTTAAGGCTTCAGAGTGAGGGTTGCCCTGTTCTTTACTGTGGAATGAGAAACTGTGATTCTTTTTTTTTTTTAAGTCAAAACTGAGACAGAAAAAATACCTTTTCTTTTGAGTGCCTTTAAAATGATGCGTATGAAAGTGTTGGGCCTTGGGAAACAGGACACAATAATAAAAGCCATCTCTTGTTGCACACTTACTAAGGTAACTATGGTTTAAAAAATGTGTTTTCACCGAAGGGACATGACTACCAACACATTTCCCCTTGGGGGGGGGGCACAGCCTCTGCCTGCCTCAGCCGGACAACAGGGAGCACCGTGGCCTCGTCTCCAAGATGTCTGTGCGTCTATTTCAGCCCTCATGCCGATTTGTACTTTTCCCTCAGACTCCAGTTTAAGGAGACAGACCGTTGTACTCTTAACCATGCTGTATGCTACAAAACGTTGCTTTTAAGAAAAATGGAAAGATTGAGAAACAAAGAAAGCCCAGCAACTTCATTTACCTTTCATTGTGGTGGCTGGCTGGCTGCTCACCTGATGGGCCGTCTTCAAGTTGAAGCAGGCTCCTCATCTCTCAAGTGGGAGTAAATCTCAGAACTCGGGTTGGCAGTGAAGTAGATTCTCTGGTAAGGCACTGGAAATCTGCATTTTTAAAATTTTTTGTTGTTCTGCTGGAGAGCGCAGGTGGGTGCTCTGCTGCCCTGTGGAGACTGTCCTCTGGGGCACCTTTCAAACCGACCTACCCACGGACAACTGGAGCAACTTGCTCACTTGCTAATGTATATGACTCACATTGGAGAGAGGTGAGATCTGGAGACCAGGGAAGAGCATTTCCTGAACCAGCAGGATTCTGGGGTGATTCACCTGAAGGGTACCCAGTGGGATGGGCCAGCATCGGGAGCCCCGGGTGAGGAGTGGGGGGTGAAGTCTCGGGGTGGGTCTCACTAATCACCTCAGATGTTCAGGCCCGGCCTGTGCAGGTACTTTTTTTTTTAGTCATTAGGTTTTCTATTGTTGTTTAGAAGATAATGTGCTTTATCACCATTTGTGGATGAAATTCACCATTAAGAGAAATAAGACTATACACTCACACTCACACTCAAAGTATAAGCATGGGTTTGTGCCTGCCTGTGTGTGTGTATGTGTGTGTGTGTGTGTGTGTGTGTGTGTGTGTCTGTCTGTCTGTCTGTGTCTGTGTGTTGTATAGTGTATGCACACGAGGATTCTTGTCAGGCTCGAAAGTAAATGACTTTACACACTGAGCTATCTTGATGGCCCAATAATATAATTTATTAGAGGTAAATCCTTCAAAAACACAGTTGCAAATATTACGTGAGTGAGACAAATTGTGTTTGTGGTAGTAACTGTTACCTTTGAAAACCTGTAGTTTTACTCCAGTCTGATAAAATCTGTGGATCCATTTTTAAACACAGACACACTCACAAATACAACTATTCAAAATATTTTAAGTTAAGCTTAGAGGACAGGAACACTGACTCTCTTGAATGGTATTTTCTCACAAAAGATAATTCCTTACAATTACTTTTTTTATGGACTGGGTGTGATGGCATGTGCCTTTCATCACAGCATTCTGGAGACAGGGAAAGATATATCTCTTGAGTTTGAGGCCAGCTTGGCCTACACAGTGAGTTCCAGACAGCGAGCATTACATCATGAAACTCTGTCTCCAAAATATATAAATAAAAAACAACAAATACATTTTAAGTAGGTGTCTTGCATATTTTTCATTGGTTTACTTTTTAGATAAGGTGTCCATTTGTTACAGTTGACCTTAAACTCCCTGTGAAGCTCAGCTTGCCTTGAGCTCACGGCTCTCTTGTGGGGTGTTGGGGTTATAAGTACTCACCACCTTTACTTGACTTACTCTTTTTAAAAAAGTATTCCGTAATGGTACATTGATATTCTCAAATTAAAATTGCATTTCTGCATAATTTCGAAACTTTCATATAGAAACATCAGTGTTAGCCAGGCATGGTGGCATGAGCCTTTACTGCCAGCACTTGGGAGGGAGGCAGAGGCAGGAGGATCTCTGTGAGTTCCAGGCCAGCCTTGCCTACTTAGTTTCAGGACATCCAGGACTATGTAGAAAGAACCAGTCTCAAACAAATAGACAACAACAACAACAAAGTTTAGTTTTCTTTATATGCAATGTTTAAACAAACCAATAAAGATTTTTCCAAATGGTGGCTGTCAAGAAGGCTCCTTTGGTGAGAATGCTCGGCACCAAGCCCAGTGACCTGAGTTTGATCCTCAGTACCCATATGGAGGAGAAAATTGTCTTGCAAGTTGCCTGCTGGCCTTGGCCTGTGAGCTCTGACACATACTTCCCTGCTCCTAGATACTCCCCAAAAAAGTAAATGTTACACAGCTACATGATAAAAATTAATCAGATAAATTAAAAACCCATTATTATCATGGGTGAGAAGAAATAAAAAAAACAGGTGGAATTTTAAAGTTAGTAACTGTTAGAGATTAAAACCTGCGTTCAACTTAGGTATGACTTAAGAAAATAAGGTGTGTTTTAGTAGGTTTTCCTTCTGTGTTTTACAGGAAACTGAATGTGTTACATAACTAAATCTGGGTTGTTTACCTATTTTTATTTTCCTATTTCCATTTCCTAAACAGACTGAACGCAACCAGCACAGCTTGGTTCTGTGTAAGGTGGGGAGTCTCAGTGAGTAGTAGCTAGCTCCAAGGAAAAAATTAGCCAGGTAATAACGGCTTAGTCTTATGTAAGGTAAGAGTTTTCTGGATTCATAAGCAACCGTTACTTAGACTTCAACCTCTGCAAACTCTACTCTGGATTTTACCCATGACATTTGAATCCAGTTTTGAGCTAGGGAAGTTTGCCATGTAGACCTTGTTTGGGAATGTTGTTTGTTTGTAATTTTTTAAATAAACTCTTTGCCACCTATCTTCGTTAGGGTTTCTATCTTGCAATGAAACACCATGACCGAAAAGAAGGTTGGGGAGGAGTGGGTTTATTTGGCTTACACTTCCATATTGCTGTTCACCATTAGAGACAGGAACTCAAACAGGGAAGGATCCTGGAAGTAGGAGCCTCCTCAAACACAAGCCTTGGAGGACTGCTTACTGGCTCCTCCTCCTCCTCCTCCTCCTCCTCTTGTACCTCCTCCTCCTCCTCCTGTACCTCCTCCTCTTCTTCCCCCAGAATGTCCTCGCTCTCACAGAGATCTGCCTGTCTCCACCACCCAAGTGCTGGGATTAAAGGCACTCGCTGCCACCACCTGGCAGCCTGCTTTCTTATAGAACCCAGGACCAACAAGCCCAGGGATGTCACCACCCACAATGGGTTAGGCTCTCCCACATCAATAACTAATTAAGAAAATGCCTTACACCTGAGTCTCAAAGAAGCATTTTCTCAACTGAGGCTCCCTCCTTCAGATACCTCCCATTGGTGTGTCAAGTTGATCTAAGAGTGGCCAGCACAACGTCTCTCCATCTCCCGGCGTGAGGATAACTAATAAGCACTGTCCTGTCCAGCACAGCTAACTGCTAAATCTTCAAAGGGAGCATATGTCCTGCTGCCCCTTTACAAGTGTGAGCATTGATTTCTCTGCAGGTTTGGGGGCTTTCACCCCTCTCTCTGTTTTCTTTTTCTGAAATCATAGTAGGCAGTATGTCGGGATGTGTATTGGCAAGCTTCTGTTACAAGAATAAAAGGTTCTATTGCCTGATGCAAATTTAAACACATTTATTACCTGGGGTGATTTTTGTTTCATCTGAACCAACAAATTACACACACACACACACACACACACACACACACACACACACACACACACACCTCCTTTTTCTGTTTTTTTTTTTTTTTGCTTTTTTAAAAACTATTAATTTGGCTATTTTATTTGATTTCTCTAGGACAGGTGGCTGAATCTGGCTTCTTGGCATACAGACAGTCACCCCAAGTTCAGTAACATAAGGACCCTGGAGTTGGAAATGGGCGCTGAAGAATGTATTGTGCCCTGAGTCCAGACCCCCCAAAGTCCACCAAGAGACCAGATCCAATGCAAAAGCAAAGAGTCTTTTTTTTTATTATTCCAGCATGCTGGGGCTGACCACCCTACACAAGAGGGCGATGACCTTAACAAGGAGATGGGGCCTTTTTTTAAAACCTTACTCAGGGGAGTGTCTAAGGAAGTTAGGTCATTTTAGATATGATTGGCTTCAGCAAGTGGCGGCATTAGTACATTGTAATTGACCGATGCTAGTTAGGGGCTGGCCAGGGCTAAAGTTTTCTGTTTTGGGGCATGTCCAGGCCCTGTCCGTGAGCGGCCTGGCCTGGCCTAGTACTGCATGCATCAGGCTTTCTCCTTGCGTTGGGGTGTTGGAGATTGATTGTCCTTCATATTGTGGCTTTTCCTCAGGAAGCTGAAGTAGAGGCCCCATCTCTGAGAGAAGACAGAGCAGTCTGTTATGGCATCTGCCCAGTCCTTTTAGTGACTGCTTGTTGACTGCTGGGGAGGAATAGGCTGTGTCCCATCTCATTGTGTGTTTGGGGTATAGACTAGGCCTCCTTCCTTGGTCCATAAGCAGACCCCTTTGGGGACAGCGTATCCACACTTCATGGCTGGTGATGGAAATTCAGTCTGGTAATGAAAAAGTTAACATGTGATAGTCTTCATGCATTAGTCTTAAAAACGTTGTATGCTCTACTCTCAAGTTAGGACCTGTTAAAGCTAGTCTTTCCTAACATTCAAAAAAGGAAATCATACACGTTCAGACCCGAAGGAATTGAATGGGCTTTCATGAAAAGAGCAGCTAGCAGCCAACCCATACCTTTGTCCTTGTTCATGGCACTGAAAGGTAACCCTGCGTAAGTCTTTGTAGTGTTTTTCTGTTCATTTTCATAACGAGCCTTACATTTCATAAAGCCCAGGAGTCTTCATAGCAATATTTCCTTATTGCTCCATTAGAAGATCATCCAGTAGCATGCCAGGCAACTCTTTTAGCAAACTCACTTTTAGTATAGGTAGGGACTTGTGTGTCTGTGTGTGTGTGTGTCCGTGTGTGTGTGTAGCCTCCATGATTATAAAAAAAGGACATTACAAGTTTTTTAAAATATATGTATTTTATTCTTATTTGTAGTTGGTGATGTGAGGGTCAGAGGACAAATTGTGGAAGTCATTTCTGTCCTTCTACCTTGTGGGTCTCGGGGATAAAATTCATGTCCTCGGGTTCAGTGAAAAGTGACTTTGTTGGCTGATTCACCTCAGACTACCCGCAGAGTTTTAACATTGATCGCGACTCTAATACCGTCCAACATTGTTTGTGGGTGTGTGTGGCTATGAGTGTGTCGGCCTTAGGTCTCCATTGGGTGTCTGCTGCGTTTACCTTTTGAGGCCAAGTCTCTCACTGAACCTGGAACCAGCATGCCCCAGTGATCCTGCCGCCGCCACCTCCCTAGCGGAGATGACACGCACACACCCTTTTACATGGGGTGCTGGGTGTGTAACTCAGGATTGTGCTGAAAGGCAAGCTCTGTACTGCCTGGGCCCTCCAACATGATTGTTAAGTGTGTTAAGTAAATTGTACAAGCGGAAAGAGTGGTTTCACTGTGTCTCATCTGCACTTCCCAATTGTTGAACACTTTTTTACACACAGACTACACACATGCACATACATCGTTGTATACATGGCTGGGGCGGGGAGGGGGGGTGGGGATGTGTCTAGAGCTGTAGTCTTTGTAATAAGGCTAACACTTCTAACGTCTAAGTGGGTGAATGTATTTCCAACCAAAGACACGTTTTTTTCTTAATTCATTAATTTTTGGGT